AACAACACCTTCCGTTGGCAAGGTGTTGTTGCGGCCCTATGCTCCACTGGGAGTTTACAGGAATAATAGGAAAAAAAAAATTCAATGGCCGCCGGACCACAAGAACTTAGTCACGTGATCTTACCACTTGAAACTCGTCTCACATATATTGTTTATAGTATTTTGTCAAGAAACTAGTAGGTATCAGAAAATATGGTGAACTTGAGAACATAAACTACCTGACATGGCTGATAATACAATATTAGGTTTTGGGAGAGACTGTATATTTTTGCTTGTTTTAAGCTCGAAACAAATCTATTGTTTGTTTGGAATTAAGCACAAAGCTACACAATGGGATATCTGTGCTCTGCCCACCACGGGTATCGAAACCCAGTTTCTAGCGTTGTAGCTCCGCAGACATACCGCTGTTCCACTGAGGGGCCGAAACAAATCTAAGTGCGGTATTTACATTTTTTAATGGTCATAGTGTTTCAAAGAATCATAGAAATCATCAAATTACAACCACACGTCATTTTATTATGTAGGGAAAATTATCTAAGCAAATGTAACTTCTCATAACTTACTTCAAAATAACTCATTACAATAACTAACTTTCTTTTCTGGAAGTTTCAATAAATGAAACACATGTTACAATAATGTTGTCGCTTTTCGTAAACCTCATTTTTACCAGTTTATAGTAAACCACAACATCAAGATCTTATTATATGCATCACATTGTTAGAGTTAGATCTTATTATATGCATCACATTGTTAGAGTTAGATCTTATTATATGCATCACATTGTTAGAATTAGATCTTATTATATGCATCACTTTGTAAGAATTAGATCTTATTATATGCATCACATTGTTAGAGTTAGATCTTATTATATGCATCACATTGTTAGAGTTAGATCTTATTATATGCATCACATTGTTAGAGTTAGATCTTATTACATGCATCACATTGTTAGAGTTAGATCTTATTATATGCATCACTTTGTAAGAATTATATCTTATTATATGCATCGCTTTGTAAGAGTTAGATCTTATTATATGCATCACATTGTTAGAGTTAGATCTTATTATATGCATCACTTTGTAAGAATTATATCTTATTATATGCATCACTTTGTAAGAGTTAGATCTTATTACATGCATCACTTTTTAAGAGTTAGATCTTATTATATGCATCACATTGTTAGAGTTAGATCTTATTATATGCATCACTTTTTAATAATTAGATCTTATTATATGCATCACTTTTTAATAATTAGATCTTATTATATGCATCACTTTGTAAGAATTATATTTACGTCTTTAATACGGTTTTATTTGTTGCCAAAATTAACATATCGCTTATTTGTTGTTTTTTATTTTTTAAGTCCAGCTTTTGAATACAACAATAACAGAAATTACTCTTGGTTCTGATTTTAGGTATGGTATTAGATGGTTCACCAACAGTGTCTTCTTAATGCTCAATTGGCGATGTTCATCTCCACTGCCAGTTATCTTGATACCTTCGTGAGTATTACTGTCTAACACCTGTTACTCTATACTTTTACTAATGTTATTTTTAAAACACTTTGATTGTTGTTGTTTTTTTGTTATTTATCTAAGAACAGCTATAACGACTAAATCAAAAAACCCCTTTACAAAATATACGTGGAATCAGCGCCTTCGTGGAGAAAAATGTATAACTAGTTATTTCCACCTGATTTGATATTGAGTTTTTTTTCGGGTACCATGCTACCACAAATCATCATCTGTCTGCTTGAAATAATGAAGATAAGAAAGCACTTCTTGTCAAGGGAGAAAAAAAAGTATTCTGCTGAATTCTAGTCAAAAAGTTTTTTTTTTCAGTGATTGATGAAAGTATCTGAAACTGGCGTTTTAACGAGTGGATCGTCACGAAATGGTCCAAAAGCAATATTAAACCCCAAAGATAAGGTCATGCAATGCGTGATTAAACTCTTTATCCTGCCATTTTTATTTATAAAGAGCATAAGTGTTGGTGTTTTTATTATAAAAAAACAAAGTTGAAGCGGAGCCAGACAGTCATTAAACTCATTTGAAACAAATCTTTAAGCACTCTATAGGGCTATCATTTTTTGTTATCCCCCCCCCCCACTCAGTGGCTCATCGATAAGTCTGAATGGTTATAACGTTAAAATCCCAGTTTTAATACCTGTGATGGGGATAGAACAGAAGGCCTATTGTGTGGCTTTATGCTTAAGAATAAACAAACATAATTTTTAGTTTCGTTTTGAGTTTACTTATTGATTAAGTATATTTTTATTACAAGTTACAGCTTTTACAGCAAGTAAGAATTGTATGTGTATATCAGTAAAGTACTTGACAATGATCGCACCAGTGATCGAAACGTCGTACCTGTTCTAACTACAAATCTTACTGACTGTACAAGCTGTAATTAAAATTTAACATAACTTTTGTTCTACAAAACAGAATTATGCTCTACTGTCTTATGTTTAATTCTAAACTATTTTAGTTCTAAACATTGAAATGAGTAAGATTTTCTTTTTCTATATCCATTATAATTAATGAATGAGCCCAATTCTTGATGCCCCCAGAAATTTACGTCGAAATCCAGAAGAACATGAATGGAATTCGCAATGTTTCCTTCTATATCTACATATGATGAATAAAAAATTGCATAATTAGCAAAACATGTCTCGACTCAACCACTAATACAAGAATAATAGATGTATTTGTTTCCCTAAAAAATATTGCTTTGTTCAATGATTAAGTCACTTGTGTAACATATAAATTAGATCTCGATACACATGTAACATACAAATTAGATCTCGATACACATGTAACATACAAATTAGATCTCGATACACGTACTCGCATATATTGTTGAAACAAATGTTATAGGACTTAGTTTTAAAAGGGGGTAGTGAGGTTACAACAGCGGCTTAAGCGAAGATAGAAAAATACTTTTAAGATTATTCGGGGTTTTATAGTGTACCATTTATATGTCAAGAAGAAAGATGTATAATTTTAAATCACGACAACCGAAGAGTAATTATCCACATGCCAGATATTTTCAATTTAAGCCTAGAATTACCTGCTTCACAGGTTTTTAAAACTCAAGTTTCTAAAATATTCCTGTACTGAGGTGCTTGTGGGTCCATCACATTGTTGATTACAGGATTCATAATCACGCAAGTAAATTTGAAAAGATAAATAATTAATATTCCAATTAATCCCACTAATTACTGTGCATTTTAAACTAAAATTATTTTACCAAATTTTTTGTTCCTTTCTGAGAGTTTAAAAGGAAGAAGAAAAAAAACCTCAATAAGATGCACTATGTGGATTCTATTGGTATATTTTTGTTTGAAGTTAAGCACAAAGCTACACAATGGGCTATCTGTGCTCTGGCCACCACGGGTATCGAAACCCGATTTCTAGCGTTGTAGGTCCGCAGACATACAACTGTACCACTGGGGGGGGGGGGGGAAGAACGGCATTAAAAAAGTCGGTAATATAAGGGTTAAAGGAATAATACCCCGGATGCTACAGGTAGTTTTTACACTTTATATGATAATATACATTTAATTTGTTGGCGCAGACAACAACTGTACATTCGAATAAAAAAAGAAAAAGCTACATGACGAAAATACATTGTATTGTCTAATCATGTTTATAGTGTGGTTTGAAATAAACAGTACATTATGCTTTCAGTAGAGAAATCAAGAAGACGTGTTTTTCTCTAGAGGTTGTCCCCCGGTGAGACAGTGGTAACTCTACGAATTTACAACGATGAAATCAGAGGTTCGATTCCTCTCGGTGTACACGGCAAATAGCCCGACGTGTGGTTGCCATAAAATAAAACACACACATATTCTAGAGGTCCATTCTGAATGCTAGTATTCTGAAACCCTTTTTTAACGCGTATCATTAATATCACTTTAAAGCCGATGGAGTTTTGATTTCAAAGGTCATATTTTTATCTTGTGGTTATCTTATGAATTATGTTACCCTTCGATCACTTCTGCATATTCTACATTTTCCTTACATATTATCCTATAAAATATACGTTGGCTTTTATAGCATGTCGACGGTTTCTTTAGAGACTTCAGAATTAGTTGGTTTCTTTCAAGGTAATACTTCAACACAGCACCGTGTACATCAGGTTTACTGAAATAAGAACATAGCGTTATTTATGCATTTAATATATATCTGCTCCAACAGATTTATGCTTTAGGAAAGCATAAATATATCTGTTTATGCCTTCCTACGTATTTTTATCTTTTGTCATGAACTTCATGTGTACCATCCATTTCAGTTGTACATCTACATCTTTAATTTGGCGATCTGCACGTAGACTATCGTAATTGCTTCCAACTAGTGACTAGTTTACTCACTGATGCATCAGTGCGTATTTACATCCAGCTTAATGCTTAATTGAACATCAGTGCAACACTGGTTTAATTGTTTTTGTGACTACTTTATTCGCGTATTTTATGTTCAAGCTGATGCATCAGTTCGTAGTTGCATCCAGCTTAATGCTTAATTGAACATCAGTGCAACACTGGTTTAATTGTTTTAGTGGCTAGTTTATTCACGTGACCTTATATTCAGTAAATGCATCAGTTCGTAGTTGCATCCAGCTTAATGCTTAACTGAACATCAGTGCAACACTGGTTTAGTTGTTTTGGTGACTAGTTTACTCACGTGACTTTATGTTCAGTAGATGCATCAGTTCGTAGTTACATCCAGCTTAATGCTTAGATGAACATCAGTACAACACTGATTTAATTGTTTTTGTGACAAGGTTATTCATATAACGATATATTTAATTAATGAATGAATTAATTTATGCATAGGTTCCTTAGCTGAATATAACTTAATGTTATATTTGATTACAAAACTACATCCACATTTATGATGTTATACATAATTTCCTAGCTACATTCATATGTATACATCATGGGAACTGCCAATTTTTTTTGTCTTCCTGATGCATCTGCTAGTCCTCCATTAATATTTTGGCTAGTTTATTCTTTAGTACCTAGCTGTACTCAACTTTTTATTTTACTTACACCAAATAGCGCCTTCTTCTGGCTGCATGTTATATTTTTTTACTTGCTTATAATGTAAAATAAGACACCGAGGATATAGAAGAAGATTTTTTTTTCAATGAAGTACCTTACCTACAAACTTGCTATTGGTAAAACCTAAAGTACAGAATTAATGATATACATTCTAAATGTAAAAAAAAAGGATTTGTATTGTTAGCCTCTTACTGATTTGTAATAGCATGCTCTATTTTTGAAACTCAGGCATGACTTACTTTTGTTGCCAAATCGTTTAAGTTCAAACAGGTCTTTTCCAGACTGTTTCTTCCAGAGTTCGTCTTCATCTACAAATCCACTCTCCTTCAAACTGTTTCTTCCAGACTTCGTCTTCATCTACAAATCCACTCTCCTTCAAACTGTTTCTTCCAGACTTCTTCTTCATCTACAAATCCTCTATCCTTCAAACTGTTTCTTCCAGACTTCTTCTTCATCTACAAATCCTCTATCCTTCAAACTGTTTCTTCCAGACTTCTTCTTCATCTACAAATCCACTCTCCTTCAAACTGTTTCTTCCAGACTTCTTCTTCATCTACAAATCCTCTATCCTTCAAACTGTTTCTTCCAGACTTCTTCTTCATCTACAAATCCTCTATCCTTCAAACTGTTTCTTCCAGACTTCTTCTTCATCTACAAATCCTCTATCCTTCAAACTGTTTCTTCCAGACTTCTTCTTCATCTACAAATCCTCTATTCTTCAAACTGTTTCTTCCAGACTTCTTCATCTACAAATCCTCTATCCTTCAAACTGTTTCTTCCAGACTTCTTCATCTACAAATCCTCTATCTTTCAAACACTGTGAAGCACATGAAATGGTATGTTTTAATTTTAAAAATTATAGCTTGACTAATTTTAAATCATTAAAGGTTTAACACACACTCCCGTTTCATATACGTAGTTTTACTAAACCCCCTTAGCTTTGCGCTTTACAACAAACAAACAAACAATAAACCCCCATTTCTGAAATGTAAGTCATCCAATAAATAAAATTCCATCGTTATGAAATGTACAGGTATATTTAAACAATCAATAAAAAAGTGCCTTCCAGTAGCTCAGCGTTAAATCTGAAGGCTTATAACGCTAAACATTGGGTTTCGATACCCGTTGTGAGCACAGCACAAGTAGTCTGTGTAATAGCTTTTGAGCTTAACAAAGAAACAAACAAAACCAATCCGTACTGATGATCCTTGAATAAGCGAAACTGAAGTCCACAGTAGAGGAAACGGCGAGTCAGAAGGTGCTTTAAGAGTCATTTAGAGCAGACCTTTTACTCCTAATTTACTTGTCACCACATTTTATGCTTTCACCTTTTGGTATTACTTGCATATGTGGGGTCAGCTGATTTCCAAGTTATAAGACTTTATCGATTTTTATATCCGAACCTGTACGTTTATTTTTATTTCCAAAATATTATAAGAT